GTGCAGCATTGGAAGATGAACTGCTGGTCTTTCAGGTCCTGGTCATTCACATCAGTGCAGGGTTGTATAAAAAAAAAAGGGTTATCCCAGTGCAGTGCAAATCAAATTACTTATATTTGAACATTGGAAGAGAGAAAGCACTGCAGGTATCGGAGCACTATAGTGCTACTAGATCACTGATGTTTATTCTGGATTTTTAGTTAGGACATATCCTTTGTTTTTCAAATGCAATAAATGCATCTCTTCTTCCACTACCTAGGGGAAATGATCACAAAAAGACCCAGAAACATCTCAGCTCTTGAAATGCCAGAGATCTATATGATCCAGATTGCCAATACTCCTTCTGTGGTCAATCCCAAATCCTATGACAGCGAAAGAGTTTGAGTAGGCGGAGCTGCTCACCTGTGAGGAAGCTAAATCTCTGTCACATTATTCAATGATAAACATGGAAGTCTCAAGAAGGAACCATAGAGGTTGCTGCTCTTAGTCACACGATTTGAGCAAAGCACAGCATAACCTGCATGTATCAGGAGTTCCTCCAGCACTCGGATGAGAAGGGAGGCTCCTACATGCAGAGAAGACTGATCAAGACCTCTTCTCTTCTATCCCACACTGTCATCAAAGAATAAAATAGTCACGTTGGCACTGAAATGAGTCAGAGCACAACAGGGCCAGAGGTCAGTCTGGGTCTCTCCTAGGCAGGGCACTCCTGGCAGGAGTCCCTTGGCAGGAGGAGAAGAGGAGGAAGTTTGTTCTCATCGTGTGCGCTAATAGGAATTAAGATCCTGATTTACTGTTACAACAGGCACGTCTACACCCAAAATAACCCTGCGGAATAGCCCCAGATAATTATTCAGGGCACAGTGCCACACTATTGCAAGTAACCTATTTCTGCTCCTGGAGTTGGCTTGTTCTGCATTTGATCCAGTATCTTGACATGGGGGTGGATTGGCCAGTGGAGAAATAACCAGCAAGGACCCTTGACTTCTCCTCCTGAGGCTTTGCAGGGAGACAGAAACGGCCATGATAACAGTTCCTTGGCAGGGCTTGTCTCCTCCAGCATCCCCGAGCTACTACAGAGGGGCTCTAAGCTCTTCCAGTTCTCAGTTCCCTAAAGAGGGTGGAGAAAAGAGGGAAAATAAAATGAAAGGCTAATGAGAAGAGGGAATAAAACTGCGTTGTGAGATGAAAGCTTTCTGCCATCAGCAATGGAATCTCTCCAGCCCTGCCTGGCAGCTGGTGCAAAGCAGTGTTTGTGGGAGACAGAGAGATAGATAGATAGATAGATAGATAGATAGATAGATAGATAGATAGATACATGGAGAGATGGCGAGATAGCAGGGTTTGGGGTATTCTTTTGATGGAAAGGTTTTCAGCTTGTTTTTTGCAGGGTTTGCAGTCCCTGATGTGAAGGGGCTTCCAGTCCAGACAGGACTGGAAGGAATTGGGAGGCTGTGGCAGGAAGAGTTAAGACTAAGCCATTCACCCCGCTGAAAGGCTGTTTGGAGAATCCTTTTACCTTGGACTATTCATCTAGAGCTCCTGTCTAGTGCTTGTTCTTCTGGTGCTTCTCCTGCTGTGTCAGTGTCTACGGGCTTCCCCAGAATGCCTGTGGTTCCCTGCTGCATGAAAGGCTACCCAGACACAGCCCACTCTTTGAATCTGAGGGATGGTTGCGCTGCTGTTCCCTGGGCCAACGTACCACAGGCTCCAGCTGAGCACTGAGTAGTGCTCAGCAGGGTCAGAACAAGAGGGGAGGTGCTAGAGGAGGAGAGGGGAGGGGAGGGAGAGGAGAGGGGAG